TTTTTTTAAGGGGTAAAATCAAATGACTTCTCTCGACTGAGTGAGGCGGTAAGCAGTGTCAGACTCATAACATAACATCACGCCTTTTATCCCCGAAGGGGAAAGCAGAGGTGCACACAGAAGTAACACCCACATCTTACTATTTATGTTATGAATCCCATGTCAGACTCCTACTGACTAAAAACCACCCCGTTTCGATTTCTGCACTTCGACCCGGAGCCCCGGCAACCCCTATTCTTTTTGCTCACCAAATGTTGCTAGTCTATTAAAGAGGTTAGTTTGTCCAATCACTGTAGCTGTCAAAAATTGAATGTCCAATGAAATGGCACCAACAAAATTCTCTATTGGACGTCAAAACGTGATAAACGAAAACGTGAACAATTCTAGCGCCACCTCGTGAGCAAAAAACGATAGTCCCCATTTTCAAAACTCCTTTCATTACCTAATTATTGTGTTTTCGGCATATTCACGTAACTGTTTAACGACGAACACCACGCGTCGCGTGTCGGGGAATGTTCCTTGTGAATTTGAGCGTTTAGCATGGCTTGGAACTAATATATAGAGATCTTCGTCAAACAGTTACGTAAGCCGAAAACATTTACAAATCTCTCTCATCACTTTTCACAATTATACACGATAGACAGTTGTCTCCCATTATCAACACTAGCGCCACTTTCGACTACAACTTACAAAGTAACATACACAAGTTACATAAATAAAAATAACTATCGAATTTTATTGAATAATTTCGACATTAAAATATGTAAAAAATACATAAATGGCATTCAGCTGACTAAAATACTAGAGAACACTGATTCTTAGTAACTACTTAAAATAATACATTCAAATTAATTAAGTACTATTGAAATGAAATACATATTCATTAAATGATAGTGTGCTATAAAAATCCTATCTAATTCGAAGAGAACTTAACATTAATTCATTACTCATTAGTAGTGTAAAACATAACATTGTTACAACAATAGTTAATGTTCATCAGTATCATTTCCAAAAAAAAATATTTTGATATTTTATTTGGCGTATGCTAAATGCTCCATATGTATAGCGATATTTATTTTGATATTCATCAAGTAATATTTAATTATAATATAATTATTATTATTACGCTATACTACAAACTCAATGAATATCATGATCCTGGATTACGATCCAAATATCACGATAAATACAGACCTTGCCACTCGCCTTTGTAAAATACTCCAAGTAACTCATATATATCAAACCATATTCTTTTTATGTCTTTTCGAATCAGATACGGTTTTATTTATACTATTAAATAGCTACATAAATAATAATTAAAATATTCAGGCGGCCCTGCGACAATCGATATTTTGATATGGACTCAATAGGTACTATTTTAGTGCAGTTTTACCAAATGGTAAGGAGCAAATTCGCCAATACTTTTCTTAATTACGTTGTATGGCTTACGCTGGAATACTGAGAGGCTACTCAACTTTAAGTTTGTACTTACTTAAATATAGTGCCTGCTCTGTCATTTTGCAAAAAAAATTGTAGCGACAGAACTATATTTCAGCGCATCTTAAAATTAAGTGGCGTTTGAGAATTTTGACATTATTCACATAATTGGGTGCTTACTCTTGAAACCAACCTCAATATCAATGCAATTTCAATCCAATCAAATTTCTGATTTCATTTGATTTGAAAATATCAATAATTATCCAATATCAAAACTGTACAACCACTTTCATAGCTGTTGAAATAGCATTCAGAGTACAGAATATAAAACCAAATGCAATACCATTCAGACTAAGCCCCCTGATCGATAGGTCACTTGACTCTAGTTTCAAGCTACGCATGGAGTTTAAGTCATAAGACCATGGCGTTAATCGGCGATGACATAACGTCACGGAGAAGACACACTAAGCCATACAGCCTAATTAATATTTGATTATTAACTTCTTGATTAACTTAACAAATGAATCAATAATTTCAACCCAACTTCATTTTTTTGTAGAATAGAAGGCAAATGAGCAAACGGATCACCTGATGGTAAGCGATCAGCGCCGCCCATGAACACTCGCTACACCAGAGTAGTCACAAGTGCGTTGCTAGCCTTTTAAAAAGGAATACGCTCTTTATATTTAGTTATTACTGAACTGAAAAAAATACCAGTTAATATGATGTTTTACAATAATATGCAAATAGGAAATATTACTACATACGAATACGACACGAACGGACGTCATTGCTTCTTATACGCCTTATTACAATAAATTGCTTAAAAACGAACATTCTAGAAATAAATTACACATAGAAAAAATAACTAAAAAAACTGACACATCACACATTTAAGTACTTACACACTCTTGCGCTTATTTATAAATATCATCGAATTGGTGTTTTTGTTTTACGAAAATTATGTCGTTTTGTAATAAGGTATATTTTTTTATGGCTTAATGTAAAATTGGGTAGTATCCTAGGTTTAAAATAAATTGTTTCAACTTTTCAATGCAACGAAAAATTAAAAAATAATCATACTCTCATCTATTGATTTGACAATTTACCTATTTTTGATTTTTTTCTCGCTAATTTTAAGGAAATAAGTATGCTATTTGACGCAAAAATATGATGACGTCATAAGTTGCGATACAACACAAAATTCATAGAAAAGTGTCGTTTTTGACATTTCAATAATGTTCAATATAATTACTGAATTTGACTACCTGTCAACTACCCTATTGTTGAACATAACTTGTATTTCATTCATGCTCTTAACTAAAACATTTTTAAGAAAGGAGTAACTTTAAACAAATGGTATTCCGTAGCACAATAGTGTAGTTTCCTAAATTTTATTTTAATGTCCGCCTGGTAGATTATTTTAAAACATTAGACAAAATTAAATGCTTTCGACGATATATTGATTTGAAATATCGTGCGACGTCACAGCGTGCCACATTTTGTAGCACATTATGACGTAAAGACCTCCCACTCCTAAACTTAGTGCCATTTTATCTAAGTATTGCAACTTAATACGAGAAGAATAAAAAAATACGTATCTAATATTTTTTCATTGTCTAACTGGCGGACTAATTAGATTTTTAATTTTGATATCCTGGAAACTACCCAATTACGCCTGTATACGCTACTCAATTATAAGTTGTATATAAAACTAGCGACCCGCCCCCTGCTACGCACGGGTGCAATATGCAGTATTATACATATGAAACTTCATTAAAAATCACTCTATCTATTAAAAAAACCGCATCAAAATCCGTTGCGTAGTTTTAAAGATCTAAGCATACATAGGGACAGACAGACGGCGGATAGCGACTTTGCGACACCTAGTTTATACTATGTAGTGATACCGTGCCATCTCTGTTATATTGCAAAGAATTTATAGTGACAGGATTATTGGAAATTAGGTTCTTATTAAGACAACTGGGTTAATAATATGTGTAAATGAAATACATAAAATATAATAAACACGATTTACACTGTAAAATTAACCTTATTTTATTATAATTACATACTATGCGTGATTACTTATTAATATAAAATACATTTATAATATGGCAAATGATTAGGAAATTTAAAAGTGCAATACTGATATATTAGCATCTATTTACAAAAGTTCCAGTTTGCTCGAAAAGATGGCGACAATGATTTCTAAGAGGTATTAAAGTTTTTAATAAATATCGAGATCAACACTATTAGTTACATTTTGATATGTATTTTTATTTCAAATATCGAAACAGAATATCGATAGTCATCCCATCTCTACAAGCTTACAGGTCAGAAAATACTTGATGTAAAATAAATATGAAGTTTCAAGAATATAATTTTTTAATATTGCCACATTTGCCTAAAGCAAAATGTTGCCATACTGCATAAATAGGCAGAGGTGTAATTTTAAAAGTGATATTAAAAATATTGGATAGATAAATCTAAAACTATTTGACTATTCAGACTTCAAAAATAAAACACTACTCTTTTAGAGTACGTAACTAGATCATATACCACAATACCCCAAAATTGAGTATCAACTATCACAATCACACTAGAATTTTTCGAATTTTGGTATCAGAGATTTATTTCTGTCTCGTCACTTTTTAGTGTCTCAAAAAGAACAAATGTTTGATCATTATAACAATTTGTTCTGTACGGGATTAATGACCGCAACCCTATTGCAATAAGATCGATTATTTCAAATTACGTATATGTCACAGTTTACACCGCAACATACATACTAAGACTTAGTATTAAAAGCTCTGATTTACTAATTCGATTGTATACTATACATCCGAATTCTCAAACGATACTTACACTTAATGACGAACTAAGTTCACCAAACAAATTTTTCATACCAAAGTAGTCCCTAAACCATTGAATTAAGGTCTATAATAAAGGTGGGTGAGGGAAGACGACACCGGTGTTCTTTTGGCTTCTACGTTCTGTCATTATAAAATCATAGAGAAGCATATAAGCGGTCGACTCGCTAAGTATGCAACTGTGATAAGGGCTGTACGAGTGCTAAATTTAAAAGTTGAAGAACGAAAAGAAAAAGTTGAAGAAACCACTGATAGATTTCAAAGAGATTGGAGTTTAAATTACTTATGATAACTGACTGGATGCCTGATAGGGAAGATTCGAAATACAAATACCATTTGTGGCAACTTCAAGATACTGTAGACAAGGGTAGGAAATTTGAGGAGTGGCTTGAGACGCTACGGCGTCCTCATCTTCTTCTCAGGCTTCAGGAGGTACCTATGTCTAATGGGGCAGGAGGAAACGCCCGGGTGTCATTACAGTGAGGACCGCCCTGAGAACACAGTGGAACACACAGTAGCGGAATGCCCTGCGTGGGCTGAGCACCGCCGTGGGACGTGATCAGCGACGGCGACCTCTCGCGTCCGGCCCTAGTGCGGGTCCAGTTTTGCGAAGCAGTCACGCTAGCTAAGGAGGAGGCGGGGCGCGTGAGGTAGCGAAGCGCTGCGTCCTCACAACCCAGCCGTCGCGAGAGACACTCCGGGCGTCGGGGATCGCGGGACGATCTCCGGCCAAAAGGGTAGAAAATATTTTGTGTACAATACGTACTTCGTAACATTCACTAGTTTTAATGAAATAGTGTTGTGACGTTTAAGAATTCGGACGTAATCTTTGAGCTAAGTTGATTCGCATCAATCTCCGTTTTATTATTAGTCAATTATGTTTTTTTTTTATTCAAACATACCTTTGAATTGAACCTTAAACTATTAAAACCTACTTATTAGATACTTAAAATAACAAAATCACACTTGTAAAAGACTTTTAGTAAGATTAATTGCTTTAAAAATAGATTGAACAGTGAAAATTTCATAAGTATTTTTAAGTTCTGAATTATTTCATTCGATATTAAAACAAAATAGGGTTTATACAGAAATATTCAGCAACCATTTCACAATCACTTGAATTACACGTTATATACAGGGTGTATTATCACACAATTACTAATAAATTACATAAGACACGACTAAAACGAATGTTATTGCACAATATTATTATTATACACCCTGTACACGCTAACATTTTGTGTGTTGAAAATTATTTACTAATTTATGTGCGAATAAATCTTAAAAATACAATTTTAGTACTTACGGTGAATCTTCTTCAACTAAGGCTGCTTGCGAGAGGGAGATCTGTTGCGACCGCGGCATTTTTTTTAAGAATAAGTTTTTAATACATGGAGCGAGTAGATATAATAGCACACTGGCGGCTATTATCGAGATGGCACATAGTGCCCATTGGGCGGCTTGTATAGATGTCGCCACTTCTGCAACCGGCTTTATAAGCTCACAAGTTGTTTTTAAAGAAGTTGAAGTGTTGTAGGGACCTGTGATACGAGCATTAGCTCCACAGTCAGATGTTTGGAAGCCGATCCAACCGGCTGACCTGTTGAAGGTTACCTGGAAAAATTAGTAATACTTTATTATACGACATTACGCGCTTATATTTACTTTTTTAACATCGACAATCCATTAAGTCTTCTGCTGAACTATGGGCATCCTTTATCCGAAAAAAATGCTATTAACTCCTCGCTCAGCAGGGAGTTTGGTACTCGCAATTTTTTTATGCGATAACCCAGTAAAAGAGCAAACAGATTACCTGATAGTAAGGTAGCGGCGCCGCCCATGGACACCTAAACACCAGAGGCGTTACAAATGCGTTACCGTATTGGGGATTAGGAATTTGACCTACACCAATTGGGGAGGGGGGTAATGTAGATCTACACTACACACACGGGAATAGTAGAGGTGGTGAGAAATATTATACTATCCTAGTCTGTCTCGGAGTCGCGGAGAACCTAACGGGTTACCGGGGCTACGGCTCAAAGCGCAGGAGAAGGAACGGGATGGTTTTTAGTTAGTAAGAGTCTGACACTCCCTCCCGCCTCACCTAGGCGGGAGCAGTCATTCGATGATTTACCCCCCTTAAAAGAAATCCTTGTCTGTTGAAAAATTACCTGTAATCCCTCCATGGCCGTATATCCCAGCACGGTTTCCGTGTAACCAGTCTCCAGTCCCAGCTTGTAGCAGTACGTGGACACTGTGCCCGACGTGTCACTACTGTTGTGGACACCCACTACTAACATGTAGTTCTAAAACAAGTTTGTAAACATAATAGTATGTACATCACATAGTAGAAAAGTAGCTGTAGCCAAAAGCCATTTCAGATGGGGCCCAACAGGGCCGATGCCGATTCGGAGTCGCGGAGAATATAACGGGTAACCGGGGCTCCGGCTCGACGTGCAGGAGAAGGAACGGGGTGGTTTTTAGTCAGTAAGAGTAAGGCGGGAGCAGTCATTCGATGATTTCCCGACTTAAAAAAAAACCAAATGCTATTTAGCGCTTGTCTTATAGAATAGAAAACTAAATTATATGGGATTGACGTAAATATTGACACATGTCAGTGAATCCCCATACATTTAGTTTTCTACTATGTCTGTAGACAAGCGCTAAAATGGCGTATGGCTACAGGCACAGTGCAGAAAAAACAATTAGAACACTACACATGAGCAAGAAATAGCAACTAAAATATCATAGCATAACATCACGCCTTTTATCCGCGAAGGGGTAGATAGGTAGGTGCACATTACGGTTTACGGCACTTAATGCCACTGTACTGAAGAAATGA